CTCTCACTCATGCAGTGTGTCACCTTTCTGTCATGAACTCGGCTGGTTTATTTGGTTCAGACACTTAAGTATCACTGCGTGTCAAAGCCAGGATATCTGTTATACGCACACGGCAATGACCATCACATACTGTTTGATATATTAGCATAACTTATTTTAAAGGTGCGTCACATAGCGAAATTAAAATTCGCAGAGCTACAGTACATGTGACCTCACCTTAATAAAAGAATGATGTTAAAGGGTCAAAGTTTGGAAATAAGGTTCACTCATAAAAAAATCAAGTTTTAGGGCTTGAATTAAAAAAGAAAGTTAAGGTAGTATAGGCTACCTTAAGCATTCTATGATCATAGTGAAGAAAAGGTTGAATAAAAAAAAAGATTTTTGCCAATTCTTTATTATTATTTCTATAAAAATATGCAAATAGATATGTATGCCTGCCTATATTGTTTATTAGCACAATGCTTTGCCGTGTGACAAGAAAATCATATCCTCCTGGGACCCAAGAATAGACTTTTGTCCACTGTAGTGGACATTATATTTTAGTGAATTTCTCTGACATCATACATGTCACATGACACAACCTGGGTGTCCTGTAAAGAGCACATCCAGGACTTTTCAGAGATACCAAATGTTTGGAGGTTTCACCATGAAAACAACTTCTCCTTGGTCTTTAAAAATGTCTGAGATTAATTTAGTGATCAAATGTAGCATTCTTATGGAAATATGATAATATAGTGTAATTATAATATAAATTGGACTACTTTTCAAATTGTATTTCATAAAACAACATCTCAGGAAAATGTTACGGGGTTTCAAATAAAAAAAAAACTTTCTGTTACAGAACAGGGCATTGATTTCAAACGTGTCCACTGTGGAGGACATCAGGACTAAAATCATGTTTATCAGGCATTCTGGGAGACACAACAAGTGAATATGGAAATAAATTATACATCAATATTCCTATGAAATGTTAGATATTATTATTAAAATGTTGCCAATTATTACTCCAATTATTACCCTTATTCTTTCATTAAATGTTGCTCCAAGAACACATTAATGTGCAAATTAGATACAGTGTATAGATACATTGCATTGAATGGGAATATTAACTTATGGCCATTTTACCCACATATTGCAAAAAGTAAAATGGTGTATCAATTCATTCCATTATTTCTTTCATAACATAGTTGAGAATAATCTTTATACAAATTTTGGTTGAAAAAATCCTGAAACCCCAAAATGTATTGGTGATTGAAAAAAAAAATCCCATTGTTTTTGCCTATACATATAATTTCATGTCATTTTATTTTTTAAACAACTTAGTCCTGGCGTCCACTACAGAGGACATAGCATAACGTATGAATAAAATATTATTTTATATATATGTTTTTTTACCATTTGTTTATTGTGCTCTAAACAGTGTGATGACATGGGAAAAAACTAAATTCAAAAAACTTTTTTTTTCTGGGTCTCAGGAGGATAGAACAGGAAATGACATTACAGATAGGACGGTCATGAGGGCAGTCTGATAGCCCCTCCCCCTCCAGTGTGTCATTAAAGCTGTGACAGTGTCCAACATTACACACTTTGTTTTTTCGAGTAATTAAGTGCGTCATCCGGGAATTCAAAGGGCACTTTTTCTTTTTGGAATTTTAATGTGAAAACAGTAATCGCATATAACAGTAGTGCACAAGTACACACATTGGAACACACCTAGAGTTATTAGATGTTCACAAAGCAACATAATACGGTTGTCAGTGCTGTTGATCTGTTGAGCTGCTGTGTGTTCAGATGTTTGATGAAGGGCTGTAGAATTCCCCAACCAATTAAATAACTTTAGATGGAAAGGAATAATTGGCCTATAGTCCTTTTAAAATGTGAAAAACAACTATTCCGAATTTATACACTGTAAAAAATATTGTTGCAATTAGCTATCACAATTCACAACTTAAAATATTTGCATTAGAATAACTTTCCCAGATTTACCTTGAGGTAGGCTAACTCAAATATTCAAGTTGTCTCTTACTTCACATTTTAAGTTGACTAAACGTAACAATTTAAGGCAGCATGAACACTTTTTAAATTATTTTTTTCTTCAGAACAAAACGAATAACTTATAACTTGCCACGTAACAAAATAAAACAATATCAAATTAATGTGTAATCAAGAAAAACAAATATTAGACAAAATTACAAAACTAAAGATGATTGATGTTTGAGAGGTAATGCCCCTATTCCTACAATATTACAAAAGTGATCAAATCATTTTAAATACAATTTAATAAAATGAATATAGTGCACCTTTGAACTACAGAGAAATGGTGCTTTAACGGGAGCAACACCATGAACACGGACGCTTTGTGTATAGGCTAAATCTGCATTAAATTCTTATTTAGGTCTTATTTATTTATTGAAGAGAAAATAGTATGAGTTATGATTCAGTAGTGAGCCAATTTTCCATTCTGAAAATACATAATGGCTTTAGTGCCATCTAGTGGAAACCATGCCATTAAAATACTTGGTAAAAATATAAAACGTGCAGCATTTAAAAACGGCATTAGAGTTAATAAATATTGCAATTCCATTGTACGAGTACATACTACGTAAAAGTAATAATTTTGCATTTAAATTACTTGAATTAAAATAAACATGAATAAAAACACACTGCACCCTTTTTTTGCAGCTGAAGAGTGAAAATATCACCTGATAAATGATACCATGCTGAAATATGAAGCATTTAGGTTGCAACCACAAAGCAATGCCACTGACTCTGGCCTGCCACATAATAAAGTGTGCATGTGTGTTGCTTGCAGCATGTCTTGATATCTGTCAGCTCTTTGTTGTGGCTTGTGCACAGCAGCGGAAACCGTCTTAAGTAAGAACATGTGCTGCACTTTATCATGTCAGCAGCAACGCACCCCTGAACTCAGGAAGGGTGTGCAGTGCAAATGTGCTTCGCTATTACCCGAAACACTGAGCACACGAATCACAGCAGGCAAGTCAACGAATCTCAAAGAAAGGCGAGTCAATTGTACGTAAAAATTTATTCAGCATAATTTAAAATAATTTCACGGTTAGTTCATTTACACAAATTTAGTTTGGTTACAAAAAGGCAATTTTGACAAAATTGAGTTCCCAGTGTATAAATGTAGTACCACATACCAGAGACACACAGACAGTGTGCAGTGTGTGAAGCTTATGACAGCATGCTACGCTGAAATGATGAAACACAAACCAGTTCAGTCACAATCCCTGGTCATTCGCCACTGCACACGCAGTCACGCCTAATAGTGAGAGCAAGGTTTGCGTTTCCCGTACGCATTTCATCGAGTTCGGCAACACTCACTTTAAATCAAACCAAGGAATGATTAGTCGAGATGCTCTCCTGGATTTAATGAGAGAATCATGTCAGGTGCGACTCAAACGTTAACATACACGAGTCCAGTTATTCCACTTAAAATCTTTGTATCCGAAGGCACTCTTTGGCCATGTTGGGCGGACAAGTAAGAAAAAGCAAAAAGTTCAAAATTTAAAAATCAGTTATAAAACATTGGCTGTCTAACTTTTTAAAGTGAGTCACAGGTTTCCACAAAGTCGGTCATTCAATGATGTCAGTTTTGCAAAATGTTTAACCACGGCTTCCAGTCATTAAAGCAAATCACATATGAGCCGAGCGCGTGCAAAGGTCTTACACACATTATAACGCCTGCAGTTCGCCGACTGCCTGCTACCATTATTTAAACTGTGCTGAGATGAACGAAAAGACACTTTTATGACAATAACACTTGAAAACAGTCTGCATGTGAGATGAGGATATTGAAATGCAGTGGCCAGTGTTGTTCGGTAACATGACAGACAACATTCGCCCTCTTTTAAACGTGCGACCTCAAATAAAAATAACTCCTTGGCTGATAATAACAATAAAATGCCTAACCCCAAACAAACATCTTTGATTGAAACATTTATAAGCATGCGCAGAAGTCATACACAGGTCCGCGTGCTGCTTTTGCTTGTACTGTGGACCCGCATGCCTGCTGCTCAGTCTTTGGGCTTGAAAGATAAATCAGTGTTTTTGTCACACAGTGCAGCGAGAGCGAGCCGTTCGCTGGGTCTGAGGAATGAGGCGTCGACGACTCCTGTGAAGCGTCAGACAGCGAGACTAAGAATCAGGCGAGTCGAACTCAAGGCTTTGTGGTGAATTACAGAGAGAATATGGGCTGCTATCTTGACACCAGTACTAATATAATACTTGTTTAGCAGCAGGAAGAAGCCCTTTACAGAAGCACATAAGGCACAATTCTCAGGATCATGGGTTAATCTCAAAAACACCATTAAGGGTCATATGTAATCCCAAAATCACAAGTAAAAAAATTTTGCATTCAAATTTTTGGGACCACTAAGAAGCTTTGCATTTGTTAAATATAACTGGAAATGTACAGCATTACAGTATTTGTTGTACCATCTTAAAAAGGACGTCAGGATATCTCATAAAAATCTGAATGCTATAAAAAAAAAGGTTTCATTTCATTATGGAAAGTATAGTATTTTTTTCTTTTGATTTTGGAGTGAAATATAGGCTATCCTGCAGTTTTCTACATGAAAATCATCATCGCGTCAGCGCAACCCAAACTTCTTTTTTTCAACCTGTCCAAATATTGCTTTTGTGATGACTGAACAGGCACGAATAGAAAAAAATAATAATTACTAAGGCACATCAAATATTTGGCTGGGAAACCTCCCGCAAAGGGACTCTAAACGTAAAGTCTGATGTGTCGACCTGATTCAGTCTTCATCATATTGCACATTTATCGGAAGGCACAGGACAGCGCAGGTCAAGAGAGTAATAAAGCCACGATCCCGCTCTACACACCCCTGACGGACACGTGCTAATGTATCTTTCATTAAGTGGACATGGCAATAATGGTTATTAATCATCAGAACAATAGGCAAGCGACTGCATTTACAAGGAATGTGAAGTGAACATGTCAGCGAAATTCGAAATCAGTGAGTCGGAGGAAGTCCTTTAAGAGCTAGAAGAGAAGGATACAAACACCAGGATCACAGCGTGTTTATGAGTTCATGTCCGACTATAAGAGCACGCACCTCTTGTTATTCTTTTTGGTGGCGGGGTAGAGCACTGCGCGAACGGCCTCCACGAACACCTCCCGCACGCCCTCCTGCAGGAGCGCAGAGCACTCCATGTACTTCACGGCCCCGATCTGCTTGGCCAGAGCGCCGCCCTGCTGGTTGGTGGTGGGAGCGAGCCCTTGCTCCTTCAGCTTCTTAACCGTTTCCGTATCTGAGCGCAGATCCCTCTTGGTGCCCACCAGAAGGATGGGCACGCTGGGACAGTGGTGAGACACCTCCGGGTGCCACTTGTGGCGAACGTTGGCGAACGATGAAGGGCTTCCGATGGAGAAGCAAATGATGAAGACGTTGGTTTGCGGGTATGAGAGCGTGCGCAGGCGGTCGTACTCCTCCTGCCCCGCCGTGTCCCAGAGGTTGAGGCTGACCGTACGCCCGTCCACGCTCATCTGAGCGCTGTAGTTGTCGAACACAGTGGGGATGTACTCCTCGGGAAAGGCGTTTGTCGTGTAGGAAATGAGGAGGCACGTCTTGCCTACCGCCCCGTCTCCCACCACAACACACTTAATGGTCTGCATTCTGCGTCCACACGGGGAGCGGCACCTGCAAGCAAGTCAAGGAGGCTTTAAAGGGGTCATCGGATGCAGAAAATCTGCATATAAATGTGTCTTTGCAGTGTGTGGACACAACCACCATACAATGAAGAAAATCCATTCGCTCCTTTTTTTTTTTATAATCAAAAAGGTCTAAACACTCTCAATAATAAGCCGTTTGGATTTTCTAAGAAATATGATGTCATATTGCTCATGCTCCGCCCACGACAGCTGATGGACTGTCCCTTATTAGCATATTTACAGTAGGGATGCACGATATATCGGCCACATTATCGGTATCGGCCGATATATGATCATTTTTAATGTTATCGTTATCGGCCCGACAAATAAAATTTAGCCGAAATATTAAAGCCAATAAATAATGTATTATATTCTTCAGCTGAGACGCTTCAGATGCGCACTGTTCAACATGATGCTTTTAAACTGCTTGAAATATGATTGAAATCACTTTAAAAAAGGAAAATCCAGTTAAAGTGCCGCAAGTCTGTCATATCGGCTACATAACATTATAATGAGAACATCATAATTGTGTTTGTATCTTGGCTTTTAATGGTGAGACTTTTGTTTTTATCATCAGGCTCTCAAAAATTAGCGATTAAACAAAGAGCCTTTTTTGAAAACCAAATTAGGTGAAGGATTTTTAGTACAGCACAAGGATTAAAAAACACATTAAATTATTATTATTTTACAATATCAATAAACCAGCTAACTGTGGTATCACCTGGAAACAACAAAATTAGATTTTTTCTAAGAACTGTAATTCAGTTTTAACTTTTGCGCATGTAGGCCTACTTATGCTTTATCATAAAGAATTGATAGAAATCAAGGAATTGAGAAAATCAAATCGACCTTGTGTTTCATATCACAGTCAAAACATCCTGAAGACAGTTTACAGGATCTCCACTGCTATCATAATTTGAAACGGATGCCAAAGCATCTCGACTGAATCAAAACAATACACTATGAATCCAATAGAAATCCTGTCACATTTCATTTAATTTCCTTGAAACCAGCAAACTTAATTAATTGACTCAACTCTTAGGTTAGTAAAGTGGCATGATCAGGTCTCTAGAACTGACAGACTGTTATTGCGGAAGCGGCTAATGCTAACCGTTAGAATAGCTATCGAAAAGTGAATAAGTCAATTAAAAAGTCTCATATTCATATTCAAGTTTTTTTAACTAACACACCAGCAGATGTTGTTAACGATGTGTTAATGCTAGAGAAGTGAACCCTTCCTTCATTTTGAAAACAGTTTCTACAGACTGTAACATTGCTTAGCTGCTATTAGCAGTGACTGTCTCAACCTATGGTCTCAACACACATCCACACTTCACACGACGATAAAGTACAACTATCCCGCTATAATATTATTTATAATGATGATTAGTTTACTGTACATAGTAATAACTGTTCTTATCATTATTACGGGAATCTTAATTTTTTTTATTATTATTTTAGTTTTACTGCTGTACGTTAACTTTAGTGTAATGACGCTTTGACAACATATGTAAAACAATCACGGCCCGAACGCACTTTTCAATGTAAAATTATAATAATATTAATAAAAAATAAAAAGTAAAGAATGCTGTTGCAGTTTTGACGCGCATGAACGCAGTTCAATCACTTCACTATCAGATTTGACATGGGAGTTCCTGCGCGCGCCCAATGACAACATGTATTTCCTGTATTTTTCTCACATCAATAGCATATGTTTTACACAGCAACTAAACACCAGAACAAACACGAGTCTTCATTTAAGCACTAACACGATAATACAACTTATTAAATGACTTTCGAGAAGTTCTCACCGCCTCAGAGATCCTCGCGCGCCTGTCCGACTAGCGTTCAAACTCGCGTTCGCGTGAACTCGCACACTGTGATCTTACGGAAGCTGCAGAAAAACACCGTGTCAAAATAAAAGCAAAGAACTCATTTAATTCGCTTGAACCCCTGTTATGAAAACTACCTCACATTTAATTTATGTACTTGAAGCTTAATGGGTAAAATATTTGTAAGTCAATATTAGAATTACGGATTTAAATCAGTCTTCAAACTATTTTCAGGAAAAGGTCCTCTGGGATTAAAATAATATTTATGTAATTTGACATAAATGTGCATTTGAATTGAATACATTTTTAATTAATGACAACAAAAGCTGAACTTCAGTTCAGGGTTTTCTAACCCTAGCTTTGGTTTAACTTGATCCTTACATTTTATCACAAAACTAGTTTTAGATCAAACAATAATTGAGGGACTGTTTTAGACCTTTGGTCGAAATAATAGTAGCCTACATTTATTATAAATTAAGAAATACCACTAAAGAAAGAGTACCAGTGTTCGAAATATCAGCACATAGTCAGTTTTGACACATCGAAGCAGCAGAGAATCTATAAAGTAATTAATGTGAGCGAATTATAATTCTTAAAACTGAGTCTGAATTTTGATTTTAGTTTAGTTGCCACAGCTGATGTCAAGCTGCTACTTTAGAACACTGATCAGCCAATCACATGACTTGGAAAAATGCATCATTGGTCACATGGATCATGGAATGTTGAGGCTCGTTTAAATGGATGGGAGATTGAAACATGAGTTCTGCAGTATGTTCATATTAATCGACATCACAAACAAGAGTGCCGGAGTTGTGAATATCAGCACGACTGTGATGCGGCCACAACTCACTGCCATGAAGTTTCTTACACAACAGTTTCAACAAGGTTTTAATTGAGTTGTTGAAAAACTATGTATCATTCACAGACAAAAAAAGCGATACAGTCAAATATTTTGATACGCACTCATAGAGAAAAATAAAAAATATGCCACACAATCATAGGCTAAAGGCATTGACCAATCACATTGAAGTACTACTCACATTGAAGAACTAAAGAAAGCCAAGTAATAATGTACACTTTATTTAACTGTAAATAAGATGAACTATTTAGTTTGCTTATGCATACTCGTGTCACCCCTTAAATGATCTGTACAATGAAAACAAATGTTCCATAAGTACTTAAAACATGGTATACATATAATTTTATCCTTATGAAAGTACTATATATTGTTTTGTCTATTTTTTTAGTTCAAAATGATTATATTGCATGCAAAAATGCTGTCTTTTAATTAGGACAGGTTTTGTATTTATTTTTTAAACTGACTGATTGAGCTTATGCACCTCATTTAAGTATTTGTGTATCACTTTGTCAATTTTCAATAAAATATGATATATATTTTTTTAATCACCTATAAACCATTTAAAATTTTCAGTATCGACTTGGTTCCAAAGCACTCTTGACAACAATCAGAAGTAAATACAGCAGGCTGAGTGAGCCTAGCTTATACCGCTTCAAAAATGACCAGTTAGCAAGTAAATTAATTAATGTGAACAAGGTTAGGTAGCAGCTTTCCAGTTGCCATTCTCTGGAAAGATTTGAGCCGTTAATAACACAAGTTAACTACTGCAGGGGCCAACATGAGCTTTCAAAACGCTTCTCATGATGTGTCCAAACTCCAGCTACTCGTGTTGTTTCAGGGAGTGATACACTCGTCCAGGACACGTGGGAACCCTTCTTTGGAAGGGGAAATTCATTTTGATTGACTGCCCACAATTTCCCTGAAAAATACACAAATACGAGTTCAAACAAATTTTTATTATAAAAGACTGCATTGGAATATTACTTTTTTTTAAACCCATTAAATCATCATTTTAAACATTTAACATTTTCAACAGACATCAGCCTTTGAACAGAGCTTCTATGGTTACAGATTCTTCTTTAATGAACCAGAAAGTCACGTGTAGAACAGCACAGAGTAGATGGGCTTGTGTGTGTTACATCGTGCTGTTATGAGACCAACAAACAGAAAAGGAAGAACGCAAGCCCTCAGTTCAGAGCTCGGCTTCCCTCATGTACATCACAATCGTCCATAACAGCAACACAACACTGATTTAAATAATAAAAAAAACCCAGCTCAGATCACGGGTAAAGGTGGATTCGATATTAACTTCACCTCCACTACCCGTTTACTGTGCACTTGACAAATCAGCACACGTCTGTCCATCAATCCCTCGTGAATAGCATCCGTTACGGAAGGACAGAGTCATATTGTCGTAGATGTGCGCTCTATATAGACCTGCTGGTATGATCAGCAAATTTAACAGGAAATAATATGACGGTTACTCTCCAAACTAACCAGCTCACGCTTGAAATATACAAATCAGCAATTTCCAAACAGAACTGATGGACAGAACAGATATTCTTGTATTTAAATAGAAAACATGGATGTCTTGAAGTCCTGATTTTAGAAATGCTCATTGCTGACATAGACATCCTAAAGCCGTTCAGACACACATTCAGCCTCATTTATCCCCAACACACACCGATGTTTTTGAAACATTATTCTAAACACAGATATATATCTTTAAAGACGTCACAACACAAAACACTGCGGCCAGTGGCTGGAATGCATGTCTAAATGGCTGAAGGCTCGTGTCTATGATGAGCATGTGTATCTATCCTCAGGCTGACCTTTAAATCCAACATGGCAAATCAAGCACTTCATTGCACATTTTGCTTCAAGATTGATGCAGATTATTTTCAGCAGACACAAATGAATCGGAGCTTCTAGACATTAAGGGAGGTGGATGAGAAGACATGGTAATATTGTTTTGTAGAGTTTACTGTCAAAAACACAGTATATGTGAGAAGATCTTGCGTACGCTGCTCAGAGAAACATTCAGTCCCACAGTAACTCCAGGCTCACAGGCTTTACTGCTGGCCCTCCTTCTTCTCTCCGCTGTCTCCTCCTGAGCTCGAGCCGCTGCCGCCTTCTCTCTCTGACGCCATCTGACACACACACACACACACACACACACACACACACACATTCAGGAGGTGAGGGAACACTTCACAGACAGGCCCGAAAAAACACCTCAGGTGTAAAAGATGAAAAATAAACTTCAGGGAAAGGTCATGTGGGAAACTGTTTTTACCAGCTTAATCACAGGCGGGGATTTTTAATTGTTAAGGTAATTTAATCATAAAATGACTATTGTTTTGATCGTTTGCAAGTGCAGTAACTAATAACGTTACATGTTTATTTCTTGGAAATGTGTATTTGACAGTAAAGCACTGAGCTTGAGTTGAGATGCAGATCAAATTAACTTAACATGTAAAAACCTCATTTTTATAGAGAAAAAAATATTTTTTTGGGTCATCACATTAAAAATAACATGTAAATTGGACAATATTTAGAGCTTTGAAGTGCTGGGAAAAGTGTGAAGCACTTCACTATTAAATGTAAAGACATTTGACCATTTCCATTTCAGTTCGCGTTGCTACAGTAAATCCGTGGTGAATGTTGGTGATGTGTGGACGGAAAAGCCTTCTAGAACTATTTTGTTCATGGCACAACGGTTCTCCTGGTTTCCACACCAGCGCCGTTTGATCAGATCTGGTTTATAACAGAAATGTGCGCTGAATGTGAACGCTTCTCACTGGATCTCGCAGCGCTGTGTAGAGATCGGCGCTCGCGCGGCCTGTCCTTGCTCCGAGCCGATGAACGAGTGCAGGCTCAAACGAGTAGCGCGGTTTCCTTCGATTACAAATGCTCTTATCAGTTGGACCACGAGGCGGTCGCAGTCTGGAGCCCTGTACTTCATTATTATAACAACTGTAAAGGCCCATTCACACAAAGAACAAGAACTATAAAACATAACTATATGTTTGGTCACCCTTTATATAGGTGTCTTTAACCTAAGACGACTACTAACCGTACAAACATTTAAATTAATAATTTGATACAATGCACTTGTGTACATGCGAAAAATTACATGCATGTAATTACATGTGCAACTAATTTCTGTAATTACATGTATAGCTACATCGTTGACCCTGCCCTTGTTTTTAACCCACTGTTAAACCTACCCATACCATCAAGGCTGTCCCGTACCTACCCCGTATCCCTCCTCAACACCAGCAAAAGTGCCTTACAATACAACATCAGCACAGTAAGTACACTGATCTTATATTTTGATGCAAGTACATAGTATATAGAGTGTGAACCCATATTTAGTAGTGGTGTAACGGTTCAAATTATTCATGGTTCGGTTAGTATCTAGGTTTCTGTTTGGTTGTGGCATGTTGACAATTTTGTGTGAATTTGTTCATTTAAGCGAAGGAAAGCTGAAAGAGAACTAAATTTAGCATTGCACCCTGTCTGAGACCAGGCTTTCTGTGTGTGTGCGTCGGATGTGTGCGCATTGAAAACTTCGCAACTTCGAGTGTTCTTGTGCCTGAATATTTAAATGGATAAGGACGCTGCAGCACGGGCCTGATCGGGACAGCGACCGCTCCGTCAACTGTCCCGAGCGTCGTCTTCATGCTGACCCCGGGCCATTGGGCAGTCCTTAGTTTTGAGCCTGTCAGCCCTTTATTGTTTTGAGTGTCTGAATTGGCACTGTCTGTTTAAACGAGTCAAAATGAGTTTATCAGAAAATATAATGTGTAAAGCGTAACATGATTGACTGTACCTTCTTATATGCCATCTCAAAGAGTTTGAGTGACGCTTGCTGCAGGTTTGTGGCTGCTTGCTTGATGTTCTCTCCCGTCTCCGCGTCCTTCCGTGACAGAAGCTCCTGTACTTTAACGATCTCCTCCTTCAGTTTGGTACACTACAGAAACGGATCACAAAACGTTTTTACAAGGCCTGTGAACATTACTGGAGTTTCAGCACTTCAGACTGATGATAAAGCAGCAGAAGAAGAAGAGTCGGACCTCATCGGCTGGCAGCTGATCCTTAAACTCCTCCATCTTCGACTCGGTGTCGTGGACGATACCCTCGGCCATGTTCACCGCTTCCACACGATCCTTTGAACCCAAATCAAAAGATGTTGCAAAGGCTTTTAAGGTGCCACAAATAAGACCACGTTCAAAACGGTTTCAAATAGTGACAAACATGTAGAAAACGAACTGATTTTAAAGCATTTGAACATGTCCTGTGAAAGTCAGACGCTACCTTCCGTCTCCTGTCCTCCTCTGCGTACTTCTCTGCATTCTTGACCATGTTTTCTATGTCGTCTTTGCTGAGGCCTCCAGACGACTGGATGACAACTGAATGAAGCGCATGCAGAAAAATAAGCAGAAGCAAGATGAATGTTTTTCATTAAGACTCAAATTCGTATTTTACTCCTGTAATGTGATGTGTTCGAGTTAAACAGGATTTTCAAACTGAGCGAACTGGATTGAAAGTTGCTGAATGTGAGGTTGCAGTGAACCGCCAATGACTTTCATACATAAATAAAATAAAAAAAATCAAAGATACTCTTATTTCTGTGATCTTTCCTACATTAACTTGAACTGCATTACCACAGGTCGCATTACCTACAACAGTGGCGTAACACAATGTGTAAATACCAGCTGTTTGACTGGCTAACATGAACCAATAGTCTCCATAAGAAAGTAATGGAGCAAGTCTTTAAAATTGATGAACAATTGAGAATGGTTTAGTCTAGACTTACTCTGCTGTTCTCGGCCGGTGCCCTTGTCTTTAGCGGAGACGTGCACAATCCCGTTAGCATCGATATCGAAGGTGACTTCAATCTGTGGGACGCCACGAGGAGCAGGAGGGATGCCGACCTGTTCAGAACACAGAAATACAACATTTGAGCCGTAAATGGATGTGAAATGTAAATCTGCATCTCGATGTTTCGCCCCAGAGCACGTACCAGGGTGAACTGTCCCAGAATCTTGTTGTCTGCAGCCATCTCTCGCTCTCCCTGACAAACCTTGATCTCCACTTGAGTCTGTCCATCAGCAGCGGTGGAGAACACCTGAGAGGAGACAGATCACCAACGTCAGCCCATGCTAATATTCATACATTCTATAGGGCTTAGCCATTTCAGGGCCTTAAACGAGATTTATGATGAATCTTTTTTATAATGATTTTTTTATAATGATATAGATGATTTAAATCATTTCCACTACTGACCATCGCAACTTCGAAAATGTACAAAAGATGCACACAAAAAAAAAGTGAAAACGTAAAAAATAAATAAATAATAATAAATAAAAAAATTCTCCCCCGAACTGAATAGTCTAGAAAGGTTTTTCACAGTTTTTTTTCTCACAAAATTACTTTTAACCAATATGATCATACTTAACTACATTTTTTGCCTACATACACTACCGGTCAAAAATTTGGGAGCATTAAAGTTAATATATTTTCAACTATTTCATTTCTGTGATCAAAGCTGAATTTTCAGCATCGTTACTCCTGTCTTAAGTGTCACATAATCCTTCAGAAATTATTCTAATATGCCGATTGCTGCTCAAGAAATTATTATTATTATTATTAATAATAATGTTAAACAGTTGTGCTGCTTCCTATTTTTGTGGAAACCGATCATGTGACACTGAAGACTGGAGTGATGATGCTGAAAATTCTGCTTTGATCACAGGAATAAATAACATTTTAAAATATATTACAAATATAAAATATATTAGAAACCAGTTCATTTAAATTGTAATAATGCTACTTCACAGTATTACCGCTTTTACTGTATTTTTGATCAAATAAATGCAGCCCTGATGAGATTAAGCGACTATTTTCAAAACCATTAATGTTTCCAAACTTTTGACTGGTAGTGTTGGTTATTAAATTTCACCCAAAAATGAAAATTGTCAATAATACCGTTCCAAAACCATTAAACTTTTGTTCATCTTCAAAACACAAATGAAGATATATTTAATGAAACCTGCTATCTTTTTGTCCCCCCATTAAGTCTATTCCACCAAAACTTGTGATGCTTCAAATAGGAGATTGTAAAAAAAAAAAAAAAAAAATTTTTAGTCCAGGTTTTCTGAAGTTGAGCAATGTATTTACATGAATAAAAGCCTAAATTAAATCAGAATTAATTTAAACCACTAATTTAATTAATCCACTTTCATATGGACTTCTTTTACAATGTCTTTAAATTTTGCTGGAACAGGCTTCCAATGAAGGAACAGAAATCTCCCAGGTTTCATTAAAATTATGAATTTGGAACGACATGACAGTTTGTAATTTTCATATTTTTCTTTTTGGTGTGAAACCTTCATTTTGATATGCCACGGAAAGAAATACTGCTGAATCAGAGCTTTGAATCTTTATATTGACAGAGACAGTTTCAATAAAATGATAATGAAAGCCACGTCTGATACTGAACTTTAGTGACGCTGTGAAAACATCCTTCTTCCCACAATGCATACTTGCAAGTTACAAGATTGAGAAAAACGTACAAAAATTTTACAGCCAAATAATAATGTATAAAATTAACCAACATTGTGAATATTTAAGTGCTTTATCCCTGCTCCACACAAACACACAGGTGTAAAGCACATGCATGTACTTGTATCTCTAGTGGAAAAACACCAGCGACTACACAACATGATCTCAGTCACAAATCGATGAAACACACAAGCTCTGCAAAGGTCTCCACAATCCCAAAACACCAGTGCTTCTTGCATCCCCTGTTTATGAACTGACCTGGCTTTTCTTGGTAGGAATGGTTGTGTTTCTGTTGATGAGTTTGGTGAAGACGCCTCCCAGAGTCTCGATCCCGAGGGACAGAGGAGTGACGTCCAACAAGAGCACGTCCGTCACGTCCCCGGCCAGAACTCCTCCCTGGATGGCAGCGCCGATAGCCACGGCTTCATCCGGGTTCACGGACTTACTGGGAGCCCGACCAAACAGATCCTGCACCGTCTGCTGGACCTGAGAACAGAGGGAAGAGTCGAGTCACCTTCAGTTATACAGCGCTTTCTACAGCATGGACTGTTTCAAAGCAGCTTTAAGGCCTGTTCACACCGGGACGAATTTCGCGCGCGTTATTCGCCGACGTTTAACGCCTCGTGACTAAACAAAGGGCGCCAATGTGAGTGTGCACACTGACGCGAAAAACGCCACGCGTAAAAGCGTTGTTTTTTTGGTTTGACGCACCGCGTCAAACTATCCGACCAATGAGATTGGCGCTTTTGCTCACGTGTCTGGAGCTTCTGAAGTTACAGTAAAACACAACTTGGGGGCGCTCAAACACAAAACGGTCTTGTCGAGCACACATACGTAACAGCGAAGAAGATATACGCCAAGTAGCGTCTACACACCATAGCTATCCATAATAAAGGCTAGATGTCTCGTCCGCGCTGCTGCCCAATGGCCTTTATTATGGATATCTATGGTCTACACTGCCGAGGAGAAATAAGACGAGGAAGATGCGAGGCAAGATGAATGTAGAGCTGCTGGTCTCGTTGGTGTCGGAACAAAGAACTATATGACAACGCGACAGCGACTACAAAATAGGACTATTTCTGTTTTACATTAAGCGCCATCTAATGTCAGGGAATGAATTGTCATGTTCACTCGTCTCATCGCCAGCGAAAATCGCTTGGGTGTGAACACAAAAAACGCGTCGAAAAACGCTGACGAATAACGCGCGCCGATATGCACATGCGTATTACGTGTTTAGTTTATGGCAGTGGTCTCAAACTCGCCGGCCTGGCCTGCGGGGTGATATTTTGTGGACCCCAACTTGACATTAAAGTTTAATGTTAGTGCGGCCCGTCGTTATGTGTGCCGCTTTTTATTTTTTTTTATATCCCTTACGGGCTACCATAGATAGTCTCGTGACAGCTTACGGTGGGTTTGTTGTCAATAGTTGCCACGCGCCTACATTTGAAATAACGTACAGAGCTTAAAGTGAAAAAAATTCCTGAGCCTGAACTTTTTTTGGGGGGGGGGGGGGGGGGGGGACTGCACAGACTGACTTATCTTCAAATGGAACCATTTATGGCATCTTTATTAATGAAGGGCCAGTATCACTGATATTAATATAGCTAATGATTTCTCGATGAAAATTCTTTCCCCCACAATTTCAGGGTTATAAAATAGTCCGCACTGCATAAATTATAAATTAAATTAGATTAATCCTTATTAAAGCTACAAGCGTTCTTTAGTCAAAGTGTAGTTAGTAGTTTTCTCTGTTCCCTTTGTTGTTTGGTTAACTTTACTCACAGGCAGAATTAGTGGCTACTGTCACTTTAAGATCTACAGCTGGTGACAGGATCTCACGCGTCTTACTCTCTCACTACTCTTTACTTCCATTTAAGATTTTATTTAACTCATTTAAGGTTAATAATGATTGATTCTTGTGAGGATACTCGACAAAACGGACATTTTGGCATAAATGTGTGTGCCATTGTTCGTTCAAGCGCGAAAGAATTCGATACTGGTTCGCGACTTTTTGTGCCTCGTGTGTGTGTGTGTGTGAGGAGGACATTTACTGAAGTGTGTTCTCGTTTGTCTTGTCGCACATTAATGGTTTAAAGCATTTGGTGGACAAACTAATAACTAATAAGAGCATGATCATAACCCTAGCTAAAGAATGACAAAGAACGGATGCAGCGTTAATTGTGTTAAATATTTTAAAACATTAAAGCTGTTTTTTTTTTTTTTTTTAAATCGCATACGTTAACGTTGACTGCACTTACTTTACTTGTCATACATTGCTGACAGAAAATGAAGCGGTTTAAAGTGGACTCGTTTTCATGGTAGGCCTACACATAATGGGTTTTTTTTAGTAAGCTACACAGAATGTTCTACATTAAATATTTAACTAACAGTCTGAAGTTACCTAGCAGCAGTGTATGTTAATGTTAGCTCAGTCAACATAAGGCTAACATCAAAAGGTGTAGACAGAAAATATGATTATGCTGACCTGAGCTAATTTACGAAATCAACCAACTCACATCTCCTTTCTTTCTTTTCATCCATGATGACATTAAAGTCACCTGATGTTGTTTCTGGAGTTCTGCGCTCCATGCTTTCACCGACGACGCTAACGTGAGGTATGGATCTCAATCACACTGTTGCCAGGACCCGCCCTGCTCTGCTTCTGATAGGCTTGTGACGTTAGTTAGAGCTGCGCTCCTCTCATATGATTGGTAGGTGAAATCAATTGACTCGAAAATATTAAACCGCATTCAAGTTCCCAGTTTCAAATGTAGCCGCGCGGTATGCGCGCTCATAATGGAAGCGGTGCACTAGTTTTTTCCAAACGCGTCCGCGCCGAAAGTGCCTCCGACTGTAATTTGCAGCCTGATTAATAAATTTTGCCTGCGCCGGAGGCCGGACCTGCCCTCAAGCCGGAAATCCGGCCGGAATACTTTAAGCCCTGTAAGTATCACAAATATGTGTTATAAAGAAAAGAAAAAGGATGTTTGTAAAATGAAGTATCACAAAGATGTTGTGTATAAGGAAAAGACAAAGAAAGTTTGTAAAATGAACTTCAACTGTCAGACGTACAGCTCATGAAGAACCAATCATGTACAGAAAGGAATGTTCAAATTCAGAGGAACAGTTCAGAAGAAACGTTAATAATAAAGATTGAGAAGATTGAATCATTCCTTTTTTGGAATGCTTAAATACTATTTTTTTGTGGAATACTTGATGCGGCCCAGCCTGACCCAGAAGTTGAGTTTGAGACCCCTGGTCTATGGGTATGCACGTTTGAATATATATGTGCGCAGGCGTGTAGCCTTTCTTTACAAATTACTTGTCTGGCCTTAAAAATGTATAATACAGAGTTTATCGCTTCCGAGTAGCCATGTGAACCGGAATCACTTTGACAACGTTTTATCTGTACAGAGGTAATAGCAATGAAGCCGCTTCATGTGAGGCTTTTCTTGGAGAGCGGTTCAGTTCTGACCTTTGGCATTCGGCTCATTCCCCCGACCAGCAGCACTTCTCCGATGTCACTCTTGGAGACTTCGGCATCTTGCATGGCCTTCTGGCAGGGAGACACCGTCCTGCGGATGAGATCTGCCACGATGCTTTCGAACTGAGAGCGCGTGAGCTTCATGTTCAAGTGTTTCGGCCCAGAGGCGTCCATCGTCAGGTAGGGCAGGTTGATGTCAGTCTGTGTGCGGAAACATTAAGATACAGTTACTTAAACTCACCAGTGCAAGCTTGGTGAAATAACAGAAATAGCTGTTCCTCTTCTCCCAATTTCAAAATCAAATAATAATCGATTCCCTAAAAATACAGACTATTCACTATAATCTTCCCTTCAGCACTCAAATTATATTTGGCACCTTTAGATGTGTCGTGTCAGGTTTGACATGTTCAACAACCACACAAACACACACTTTGATTTAAGGGCTTCAGTGGAAGGGAAGATTATTGGTGATTACAGTCTTAAAGGGACAGTTCACTCAAATGAAAGCCAGACAGGTTTGGAACGACATGAGGGTCAATAAACAATTTTCATTTTTGGGCGAACTGTCCCTTTCAATTCCAGTCTGTTCCCCATCAGTGATGTGATTTTTCCACATTTATAATTTTCCCTGTATTTTCTGACCTGACAAGTATGACTCGTAAGGCAAAATCGCCTTAATCAGAGGGCGGGGGTCGTATTTAAAACAATGGTAGGGGAAACACTGCTAGAATTCAATCTGATAGCTTTCCCCACACTTTTTGTGTCTTCCTTCTGTGTGACATCAGAAGCATGTGTGGCCGACACACGCGCAGCTTACAGAGAACTGTGGCGCAAAACAGCTTTACACATTTTAATCGAGACTGATTTATAAATCAAACAAAAATTCTCCCTGAAGTTTTACGCCAAAATAAAAGCTCAATGGCATATCATTTGAAAGAAAGATGAAGACAAAAAAAATTAAGGAAAAAAGGAAATATTTATAACTGTTGTTCTATAGAACTATAAAATAAACTCTTATTTTATACACTTAATTTTGGATTTTACAGTACAATTATGGCAAATTTATTTGTGGGTTATAATTTGAATAATAATAATAAATCACTGTATGATTATTGGGTTAATCATGTCTTTGTCTGGTCACATGACCGCTCTTAGCACACACACACTCACCTGCAGAGAGGAAGACAGTTCACACTTGGCTTTCTCCGCAGCCTCTCTCACCCTCTGCAGAGCCATGTTGTCTTTTGTCAGATCCACTCCAGACTGCAACGAGACCACACACACACACATTAACAAGCAGCACAAACTCTGTTCTCAACACTTCCTGAGATTTAAGAATCGATTAATATCGAGAAAAATAAATTATACGAATAATAAGGTGTGTCCGTTTTCAAGAGTTAGTATGGTAATTCTTCTGACTAGAGATGGAGAAGACAAACATACTGCAAATTAATGTAAAACTGAATTAAACGGAAACAAATTATACAAATGACTATATTTGATGTGTGTTACAGCAGTCAATCAGATTGGAGAGATAAGAGAATGTTTGAGTGCTTATGTGTGCTCTCCGCCTCATTCAGCTCTTTTAGATCCACAGAGATACAGTGTGTGTAAATAGAGACATGTTTATATACAGATTTACAGTTTGACCTTCTATAATTGAAGAGTTTGTTTCCAAAACGCGATAAACGCCATTTCTAAAATAAAAAATTAGTTACTGCAAAAATCAGTATGGTATCTGGTTGGTATTGAAAAGTCAATGTTCAATTTTAAGTAAAATGCGATATCCGCCGTGTTATTCTGTCATGTTTTCTCCCTTTCTTTCCAAACCGCGACAAACGCCAGTCTCCCTTCTCTGCAGAATGCGATATATCCGCTCTCAACCAATCACAACGCACCATTCCACGCAATGTAAACAGTAACGGCAGCGCCTTAAATACACCCGGCTTCCAAGTTTTTCTTATCTGTTTTGTACTTTGATCAACAAACAAACAATAATTTTGACGGCATTGATGAACCTGTGGTTGTTTCTGCGGTGGGTAAAAAACGTAAGGCATCGAAATCGAATCATTTATGTGAGGAGATTAAGAAGATGAGGCACTCGGGAGGAGGAAAAATGTTTTCAATCTTCTTTACAGTTCTTAATAAAAATATTATACTAATAAACTTACACTGTTGTGTATTTTCAACAGTTTCAATATGAAAAAAAAAACTTTTATATTGATTCAATGGATTAATTGCATTTTGGGGGAAAAAATAATCTGTTTTTATAATAAATCTTTGAAAATCAAAACCTGGATTTTATTTTTTATTGTTATTATGACCTACAAATGCTATGTGAAAGTTTGAAACAGAAAATAGTGGTTTTCATCTTTCCACTTTCTTGATAAAGAAAACACATTTTTACTCAAATTAATCTAAATGGATTTATTGCGTTTTGGAACCAAACTCTTCAATTGCACTGCATCTTCATTCTGTTGCTTAATAATTGGTGGTTTGCATTACAACAAAACACCAAGACGTCATCTACTGATGATTTCTCACTGTAGGGAGCAGGTTTTGTAACTTGCAGTTAATATATTTCTCCTATTTCTGTCATTTACTGATTGCCAGTACATCACAAGGATCTTAGATCGTAAAAACAGCAGTATTCATAGCGGTTTTTAAGTTAATTTGAGTATTTTACACAATGTAAATTGTAAAAAAAAAAAATTAAGTGTGGTACATTTTAATATAGCATATGAACTTGTAAATATATGGGCAAATGCTGCTGAAAATGAGGGTTTTTATGACCCTTTCAAAATAAATACCGGTGATTGTTATCAGCCTTTAAATGTCCCGATACACACAGATACAAACCTCTCTCTTGAACTCCTTCACTATATGTCTGAGAAGGTGCTGATCAAAATCTTCTCCACCCAGGAACGTGTCTCCATTGGTGGATTTCACCTCAAAAACTCCCTTCTGGATCTCCAAGACAGAGATATCAAACGTCCCGCCACCAAGATCATACACAGCAATTCTGGAATAAAGACAGATATAGTTTGCTTTTGAATGAAGTCATTCGTAACAAGACTCCAGATATTGGATCTGTGCATTCGGTCTTTGTTTGTTTGACTTCAGACAGACAAATATCTTAACACTGGCATAAAAAATACATCAGACAACACTGGACATCCACATTATATACCACACAATAAAACACATGGACACACATTTGTCCCTATCAGAAACATGCATAAAACAAATGAATACAATATATATCTGCATAAATACACCCACACATACAGCTATAGTAACTACCTCAATAAAAGATTTGATTAATAATCCTAATAATCCTGCTGCTGTCTGTAGCAATAGTGATAAATCAAACAACAAAAGACAAAGAGAAAATCACTCATGTTTCTGCTCTTGACTGAATAACTTTAGTTGGACTGGGCACTGACACAAAATTCAAATGTTTTACAATTTTTCTCACAGAAAAAAATAATAATGCTGTAAACTAGTACCAACTAGGGTTCCATGTATAAAGTTAAATATTAAATGGTAATCCAATTCGTTTTTGTAAAACATTAATATGGAAGGCGTCACCTTGTTTTCATGACAGATTTATTCAAATATACATTAAATATTGAAGAACATGTCAAGTAAGTTCCAATGAATATATAATATGTAATATGTAATGAATATAAAATGTCCCTCTCTCTAGTAAAGAGGAAGAGAGGATGGGTTTACGTGGTGCTTTAACTGATCTCTCTCGACACATGAAGTGACAAAACGGTATTTAATTTCATAAAAATGTCTTACATCATTTTCATTCACATCTATCAAACCAAAAGTAACAAAACAAAGCTTTTTGCAATTACTGGATGTTAGGCGCGCTACGAAAAACGTGTAATGACATTCTGTTCACACATCAACTGAAACCAGCACAGACTACACAATCCATTCTTGAAATTTAAGAATCAAAATCAGTTCATCAAAATGTGAAGATTAAAATTGAAAAAAAAATATATATATATATATATATTTTCAACCCAGCCCTGAACTTTAGTAGCTTTAATAAGAACTGCTGTACATTTAATTCATACAGTAAAGACTATACAGTGCTTTTTTTATACAATTGCAGGACTTTTTCTACTGGCCCGGTCTGGCCAGTGAGTGGTTCAAGGTTGTACTTGCCCTGCAACAATTTTCACTGGCCCACAACAAAAAACTAATAAAGTTAAAGAAAAGAAAATGGGCCTATAAAAGAAAAAGTCTAGTTTTGTTTTCGTTATTTTTGATACATGTAACCATAATAAATAAGGTTATGACACCTTTAACTACTAGATTAACTCATTTAAACAGTAAGTAATAAAATAGGACCAAAAACGAGCAATAGCACAAATAAATACAACAAACACGTAAATGAAATAAACGGTGCTTTTCAGGTTTTTCGTGTAGGTTTAAACAGGAGAGATGTTCAGGTACAGAAATTGTAATCTAATGTATAAATATTACGGCTGTCAGTTAAACGCGTTATTAACGGCGTTAACGCAAACCCATTTTAACTCCGTTATCGCGCAATTAACGCGATAAGGTCTTTTTGGCCTAGCAAACTTTGTGGTTTTTTCTCCATGCTTTTGCAACAGGACGCGGCATGCGCTATGAAACCCATTCATTTCAATAGTTTGCGGCACGCGAGGACGTTTTGTTGCTTCATTGCAAAGCGCAAGCGGATCTAGCTAGACCGGAAACAAACAACAGGCACGCCGCCGCACACAGTTGTTTAGCCTTGCGAGCCGGCCAAATAGTAGGTTAACGTTACGTTTTGAGTGGATGACGAGTGCGAGACGCCGAAATGGATGCCAATAAGATTCTGAATTGAAAGTTTACTTTTAAAAAGTTGCCAGTTGTGTTTTGTCGTTGTGAACTGAGCTATCGTCATCGCAGCACGTCCAGTCTGAAATACCATTTGATGATGGCCAAGCACACACACACACACACAGCTGATGCGAATTCTCCACCCCCTCGTCAATATCAGGACCTCGTCAGTATTTCTTTCACCCTTTTATTGATGGACAGTGACTACGTTTACATGCAGCCAAATTTCGGGTTATGGTCGGGTTAAGGTCACTATTCGGGTTTCTGAAACATTAGGAATAACCCGTTTACATGCGTGAGCAGAGAGAGTTACTCCTGTATACATGGAATTGCAATATCCCGATGTAAACGCGACGCGCGGTTAGCGTCTGGACGTACGGACAACCTTAAGACGCAATATACGTCATTTCCGATTCTTCTTCCTGTATCCAAAGACAACAACAACAGCAGCACGCGGATAATGAATAGTTCGGGGCAGATAGCGATCGCCTTTGTTTGCGCTTTGGTGCTGGTAACGTTACTGACCTCGCTCCAAAAGTATGCTGTGCTGCGTCTCGCCATGTTTACTTCCGGTATACTGCACGCGGGGTTTTGTATGCGCCGAGAAGTTTCTCTACTCAAAAGACCAAGATTCCTTGCGAATAGAACATGCGCAGAACACACATCACTATGGGGATATGCCGATGCGCGTTTACATGACCAAAAATTCGGGTTGGAAAAGGGGTACCCCAGGTATAATATCCCGGTTTTTAAAATCCGGGATATGAGCATATTCGGGTTTTTGCCGGTGTTTACATGGCCGTTCGCGACCGGGTTATTGTTAATATCCCGGTTTTGAACGGGTTATTGGCTGCATGTAAACGTAGTCAGTGTTACATTGTGTGAGAGATTATTTGCTCCAAGTGAGAATGTTAGTGTGAAATTGAACACAGTATGTGTCAATGTTGTTTTCAATAAAAAAACATTTGCACAAAGCAAGCCGATCCACTTTTCCATGTTGATAAGGGCATTAAAATGAGAAGAAAAAAAAATAATGGGACAAAAAGAAATCAAGAGACATTTAGAATAGATAAACATGTGCGATTAATTGCGAGTTAACTATGACATTAATGTGATGAAATATTTTAAAGCAGCACTAAGTAGGAATTCCATTTTTGTCAAACAGTGACCCCTAGAGTCGCTGTGGTGTGGTGACCCCTAGAGTCGCTCTACTGTCGTGAATAGCACTCACGCACAGATGGCTCGCACTCACGGCCTGATCCCCTCCCCCTGTACACCGGTACCTGTTCAGTAGGATGGACGCTGTAACGAGTGGAAATAAGGTATGGCCCCTTTAAGAGCTGCACGCGCCCTGTTTAACTGTCGGCAGTCTGTATTGTATGTGCGCCTCGAACACCACATGTATACGGCGGCGGGTTATTTCTGTCTGATGCTCATTTTATCAGATCTGTTTTTTTGCCATAAAGCAATTCATTACCTCGCGAGACCTGATATCACACGATACTTCCTAACACGCGAGGACGGCGGCCCGCCGGCCCAAAGTTGCAAGGGTGGTTTTGCGGCTCACAGGCACCAGGGGGGTGCGAGACGCCCCCCATTCAACACGAAATCAGTAATATAAACATTAAAATGACTCCAAAGCTATTCGGTTAAGGTAAAAAAGTTACTTAGTTCACCTTTAATCGTTTGACAGCACTAATAAATATATACCGTATTTTCCGCATTATACGGCGCACTAGGGCTGTCAACGAATATTCTAAATTCGAATATATATTCGAATAGTTTTAAAAAACAGAAATTCGAAGGTGAAAATTAATATTCGAATCATGTGGAAAAACACGCCCACGGCAGCAGAGGAGCGGCTGTCTGCTTTGCGAGTGGCAAAATTCTGAAGCTTAAAATGTAAAACGCATTTTCCAGCTGTACAGACACAGTGAGTGTCTGGCTCACTTATTGGCTGTGCTGCGGCAACTGCACATCCAATGGCACGGGCGCCTCCAACGTGTGCGCCAATGAGCTAGCATTACATCAGACACGTCAGAGCCCGCCAAGGGGGCGTGGCCAGAGCCCTCGAAATAGCCATAGTAGCAGGCTAGCAGCAGTTTACCACAGCACAGCTCGCTCGGAGCGTTCAATGTCGGTTCTATATACTGTAAAACTTCAATTAATGTTAATAATATTTGTTTCAATCACCGAATGAAGCCTGCTATATTTAGGACAAGAGTCGTGACCTTAAATTGCTTGCACAAAACTCTTGATCAGCACTCAACATTTGTTTATTGTTGTTCATTTAAACCGTTATGCGCAGAGAGCGTGAGGGCGAGAGAGAGAGAGTGCCTGCGAGTGCGAGCGAGAGTAAGGTCTTGGCCATTAGTTGATTTACTTGGTTTTGTGTAAGTTAATACGTTGTCAAATATGTTTAAACTTAAATAAACTACCTATACAAGTAGTTGTGTCTTTGTATTATTTGTCCTGTTATTGACGTAATGCGCGTCATTGACAAAATGCAACCAGATATTCGAATAGTTCGAATATATGTGTTTTTTTTAGAGGGAATATTCGAACGTCATTTTTGAGCAATTTTGACAGCCCTACGGCGCACCGGATTATAAGGCGCACCTTCAATGAATGACCTATTTTAGAACATTTTTCATATATAGGGCGCACCGGATTATAAGGCGCATAAGATACTGCAGTCAAACGTTTGACTGGGTTTGCGTTATGCATCCACTAGATAAAGTCAAACTTTATTAAGCGTTCTGACAACTCCGTTCACTCCCATGGTAACGTTGTTCAAACGTTAACCCTCTGGGGTCCAAGGTGTTTTTGGGGTCCTTGAGATGTTTTGACATACTCTGACATTTGTGCTTTTTTCAGTTGCTTATAAACATATTACTGGCAAAGGTGTAATTACACTCTTTTTAGCACACACAGGGCTACCATAATGTGTTATCAACATGTATGTACATTTTTGTATTTTTGAGAGAATATTGTTTATGCGTGGTTATTGAAAAAACTAAAACTTAAAGTTTCTGAAATAAGGCCACAAAACACATACTAAATATCTGTCCACAAGACTTGACTAATGGATGTTGTCGCCTAGAGTTTTTTCTTCAAAATGATCTGAATATATATATATATATATATATATATATA